CTCAGAACTTAGACTAGAACTCGTAGCATACGGGAAATGGTCTGAAAGACAACTTAAGGCTCCTTTCGAGGAACCCTCCATCTTGGGCAGAAATTTTGAGTGCCATTAGGTCTTTAATTAACCTATTTAAATTCAATTTTAGTATGATCCAAGCCCGCTTTCTCTCCAATCGGACTCTACTCAATCAAGAACTAGTCTTTACAAAAGTCGAGGTAATTGACCAAAAAATAGATGAAATAAAATTTATTTTTTAGACTCTGAAAAGAGTATTTTTGCTTTAAATGCAAAAGAAGCCCGTCAATTAATTTGTTATAGAAAGAAAGATCCTCGTTTGGCTGAACAAATGTCTTTGGGTAATTTAATATATTTTACTTAATATAATTTAATTTTTTTAGAAGAAAAACATCGACTAATAATGGAGCTTTGAAAAGAATTTTAAAAATATTGTAAATTATTTTTACATAGAAAAATATTTTCTCTAACTTCTATAATTTTCTCTTATATTTCCCTTATCTCTAATAAATTCTTTTTTAATAAAATTTGTTTTCTTAAAAAATATAAAATTAAAGGTTAGGAATGTCCTTAGGAGTGTTAAAAAGTCCGGTTTAACTGGAACTGAAGGATCTGAACAGGGACAAAAAATTCCGGATCCGGCGAAGCTGTACTAAGTAAGTTCCTTGACATTTCATATTTGATTTGATTTTTTTTTGATTTCATATTTGATTTCACCAAGTTTTGATTTAATTTCATATTTGTTGTTACGAATATTTTGTTTTATGTCCCGTTTAAGTGAAGACAGTTGATTCTAAATACAAGAATTTTTTCTTTAATTTGAGTTTTGGATAGGGTATGTACTTCCGTCTCCGTTTACTGTCACATAAACATCCCCTCCCAGTTAAGGCTGTCGAATCCGAATCCGAAAAAGGCAGGATATCGGGGAATTTTCGGTTCTGATATCGGATCCGGATATCCGAGGATTTCCAACTATCCGACAACCTTACTGCCTATGCCCATCTACTTTCTACCTAAGATACATAAATAGTTTTTCCGTTTCTGTCATCTTTCAGCTATTATATTATATTTGTTATGTATTATATTCAGCAATTTTCATAGCTTGACCCTAAAATATATCCTTAAATTAATTATGAGTTTGGAGTCATTTTACGACAAGAGGCTGTGGAAAATCTATCAGTGGATTCAAATGATAAAAATATATCTTATTCAGTTTATATTTTGGAAAAGTAAATGTCGATCAGAGATTTAAAAGAAGCTAAACTGCAAGAGATCAAAAAAAGTTTTTAAATTTCACCTCCATCTTCCACTCTGTTGAATCAAATTTTGAATTCATTTTATCTCGAAAAGAATCAAGTTCTTGATTAAATAAATTTAAAGAATGTTTAAGTTGTTGGTTATTCTAAAAATTTTTAAATTTTTTTCAAATATTTAATTAAAAACACCTCAGAACTGTAAACAAATTTTGAAGAAAATTTTCTTTTAAATTAATTAATTGTTGTTGTTTTTCTAGGAAAATAAAGACAACGTTGAATAGAAAACATGCCTTTCTTTAACTTTAAAATTTTTAATTTTATATAATATTATAAGTAAAATTATTCATTAGAAAATGATGAAAATTGACAAAAATGTAAATATATGATTGTTTAAACAACTCAGAAATTTGATAGGTAAAGACGAGAATATTTAATTTTATCAACAAAATTGAAAATACAGACGAACCTATGTTCAGTCCATTAACGCATACAACCTCTTTAATTATTAGGGTTGGGGTTTTGAATCGGGCCGATCATTCTATTCGGGTCTCATTTTTTTAGGCCGGCCCTACCGAGTCTTTTTCGGGTCAAAATTTGAGGCCGACTCGATCTTTCGGACCGGGCCGGATCTGGCCCCCACCCCTATTAATTATGCTAAGAAGATCTACTTAAACGGTACCTTTATTTTAGGCATAGTACCAATATATAATTTCCAGCCCCAATGTTATCTCTAAATGTTCGGTTCGCTATAAAAGACACCCATCATGTTTAGATCCAAAAATTCACTTTAACAAAAATTAACTTTAACGGTAATTTAGTGGGAAGTTTTAATTAAACGGAATTTTTTAAACATTTTTCTAAAATATCGCTATTGCCATTATCATCAATATCTCCACAAAAATAAATCCAAAGCCTAAATTCAAATATAGCTCAAATTTAATATTATCAACATCAATTTTGATGAATAAAGGGTGATTCGTTAATTTAAGAAGTTGTGATAAAATTTGCCGTTTGTTGTCAGAAATAGAGCTTTTCATGTCACTTTTAAGAGTACACAGTTCATTCTAAATGAAAAATTTTTGTAATAAAAACAAATTTTTTGGGCTCGTGTTTTATCTTGTATCCGATGCGTAAATTAAATGAAACCTCTCAAATTAATTTTGAGTCTGTAAAAGTTCGGATGGTATACCCCATCTCTTTTCTGACCATTTTTTCCTCTCCTTTCTCCCTTATTTTTAAGAATCAAGTTTCAAAAAGGAGGGTACAGCCCAAGTAGGCGCAAAGTCATAAACTCTTCAAGATTTCTGAATCTTTCAAAATTTAGTAATAAGCGATTCCTCTCATCGAACTAAAGAGATTGCTACTAAAATTGTTACGGTAAAGAAATTTTCCAACTAGTTATGGCTCTGCGCCTACTTGGCCGCGCGCCTACTTGGGTGTATCCCAAAAAAGGATTGAGTAATGAGGTATACGGTATCCGAACTTTTACTTGAGTTTTTTTGGGTGTTTTTAGTATTACCTTCATTTCTCGTTCTGTCGAATCAAACTTTGAATTCATTTTATCTCGAAAAGAATCAAGTTCTTTATTAAATAAATTTAAAGAATGTTTAAGTTGTTGGTTATTCTAAAAATTTTTAAATTTTTTTCAAAGATTTAATTAAAAACACCTCAGAATTGTAAACAAATTTTGAAGAAAATTTTCTTTTAAATAAATTAAATGTTGTTGCATTTCTAGGAAAATGAAGACAACGTTGAATAGAAAACATGCCTTTATTAATTTTGAATAAAAAATGTTAAATACTAAATTATTTTAGAACATTTTAAAAATTAATTTAAGTAAATTAAATGTTCTGTAAACATTAAAATAAGGCTAAGAAAATTAGCTAAATACAGGGTGGGGCAAAAGTTCGGCGACAAATGTTTTTAATAAAATCTATTGTAAAAAATTTTATTTAAGATTAAAAAATGATAAAATATAATCAATAGGATATAATAATGATTTTATTAAAGTAATTTCTCAAAATGACCGACCCTGACTGAAATACACGCATCCAAACACTTACGGATGTTACTCACAATGGTCGCGCATTGTTCATCGGTTATTTCGTTCCAGGCTCGCTCCAAAACAACATTAGTTCCTCCGATGTTGCGTATTGGATTCAGCATACTTTTTGCTCCAGAAATGCCCAAATAGAATAATCCAATGACTTAAATCCAGTGAGTTTGAAGCCTTTAAATCTTTCCCCCAAGAACCATGAAACAACTCCCCACAGAGCTGGGTTGTCGTTTTGGCTCCAGCGCGGGTGCTCAATCCTGCTGAAGCGAGAATAGGTTTTCTCCGTGAAGCTATATAATGCCATGGATGCTCAATCCCCATCAGAATGTCATTTTTTAGACTGTAGCATTAATTTTTATAGTCATCACTCTGTTATGGCGACCAGCTGCGACCAGGCGTTTATCCTTGACATTTTTGAAGTCTCTTATGCTTCATTCGATTGCTAAGGAAATATGAGCGGCTGATCTTGTAACTCCTAAGTCTTAGCTTCACTTCGACAATTTTTAGGAGGCTCCTCGAGCTCATTCCGAGATCTGAGGCCGTTTTCACATCGATTGTTCAGAAAAATGGAAAATTCGGCATCTGACGTCCGTTCATGTTTTCAGTCGTAACTTCGGTTACCGGCCGGTCACTACTAGGACGGTCCTGAGTATTTCCAAGCTCATGATATCGTTTTATTGCTTTGGAAAACAACATACGACAGATATCGAGCCGTCTAGCGATGCACATTTTCGCCCGTTTTTTAAAATACAAAGAAATAATAGAAGCATGATTTTTTAACGCTCTGTAAAATTTTTATTTTATGAGATAGGAAAAAATTTTCAAGATAAAATTTGTAGAGCGTGAATCATAGAATATGGGAAAACTAGACAAAATGCAAAATATAAAGTAAATTATAAGATAGGACAAAATAAAATTTGTCGCCGAACTTTTGCCCCACCCTGTATATTTAAGTATAAGAAAACGACAATATAATGAGAAATTAATACAATGAAATTCACTATAAGGACACCGATCTGGCATAATTTTGCTACGTAAGAAAGGTGACGCCTAAAGGAAGGTCAAATTACCGTATATGCTCTATTAATTACCCTCTCTCAAATAATTGCCCCCGCTCTATTAATTACTCCCTCCAGCAAGAGGTTGAAACAATAATTACCCAGGGTAATTGAGCATATACGTAAGCTAAAATATATTAAAAGTGCCTGGTATGTGGCGTCATAGAGATTTGTCAAATTTTGAGTACCCAAACTCCGATATTTTGATATGCCGTATGCGCTGAAATAATCGTCATCCCTTAAAAACCCACACCTCTTATTCAATTAACGCATCTAGCGAGAAGTTGAAACAATAATTACACGAGTACCTTGGTCGAAAGGCGCCAAGATCTGTTTGTGTTCTCAAATATAAACTCAAATATCAAAAGTGTGCCGAAAAAGATTTTAAAAAGCGAAACGCGAAATTCAAAAGGCGAAATTGAATTTTAAAAGCGAAATGCGAAACTGGACCCCTGTTAAATATGTATGGGACAAGAATATGGTCAAATATGTGCCGTTAAAGGTGTCGTATAAGTGAAACCAATTTAGTAGTATAAATTTAAAAAATTGAATAAATAAAGAAAAAGTTTTTCAAAATTTAAACTTCCTTCAGACATTTCTTCTTATAATCAACAAAACTTATTTCCGTTCGGCGGCAATACGATTTAAAAGTTCCAAGATTGCAATAAAAATAATAAAGCACCCTCCAATAAATGCAAAAAACATCCCACCAACATAAAACTTAACTACAGCAAGTTCCCTCTTTAAGGCATCAAAATCATTATTAATCTTATCAGTTTCTTCATTAACTTCTTTTATGCCTTTTTCATTTTCAGTCTTGATATCATTTTTAAATTTAACAATTTCTGTCTTAAATTTATTGAAGAAATTTTTAAATTGAAAAAACAATTCATTTGCGGACGATATTTGCGGACACATACGGGCAATAATGTTAAGTCTACATAAGCTACCGTTGAATGCCCTCGTTTTTTAGTCACCTTCCAAAATGGCATTCTATCATATGGTGGCACATTCAACTGGAGAGCAGGGGTCGGTCGGAATTCCGATTTCCGAAAATTTAGGCTGCTTTCCAATTTTCGAGTTCCGACTTATGAGCCATTTCCAATTTCCGACAGTTCCGATTTCCGACACCTTCATCATTTCCAACCGACCACTGCTGGAGAGGGGAAGATATCTTCTGTTGAACGGGCATTCTATTAGGGGGCATTTACCAGGGGGCATACTATTAGGAGTCATTTTATTATTAATTTTCAAAGATTTTCCAAAGTGGCATTCAAATGTAGGAGGTCTTTTTGAGGTATCTAAAAATGAGATTTGCTTGTATAATAAGTTAAATATAAGGTAAGATAATAAGAGTAAGCATCAAAATCCTCCTATTCTAGTTTAAAAAATAATAAAAATTCAGCAAATGTCCGCAAATATCAATCCGCAAATGGCCCAATTTAAGAACCTTCATTTGTGTATTCAAAGCCTCAAATTTACAATTAATTTCAAATTGCATAGATTTAACTTGGTTAGTAAGCAAATTAATTGTGCTTGTTAATTGGTCCTCATTAGGTTTTGTATTGTTTGTCTTTGTCTAGTAAATAAGGAAAGAGATTAGGAGGTTTTGATTTGATTGTTGATAATTTTTAAAAATAGGTAGAGCATTTTAATTATGTTTTAAACACTAAATTACCTCAGTAGCAAATTTCCTAACAAATGTTGTCATACTACGCGACATGCAAAAACAACGACGGTTAATAACAAACATATTTTTAATTTTTAAATTAAATAAAAATAACTAAAAATTATAATTGTAGAATAATTAGGGTTGTCGGTTGGAATGGAACCAGATGATTTTTGGGGTGCGTTTTCAGTTGTGTTTCTGATATCAAGATTTCCCAATAACCAACAAATTAAATTATAAATGAAATTTCAGAGTTCAAAATATAATTTCAAAAAAATAATTTCAAGCAAAAGAGCTCAAAATGGTCAATAAACAGGAAAAAAGATCCATTCCAGGTGGGGAGATGGATATTCCCTGAAACTATCCGTAAAATTTCCCTACAAATTATTTGTGATCCCAACTTCTTTCGAAGTAAAACATGTTAATTACAAGTAAAATAAGAATTGAAGAGAATCCACCGACATAAGATGGAACTATAACGGGAGTTTAAATTCCTCGAAAGTATCAGTAAAATTTCAGTAAAATTATTCAAGTCCCCAACTTATTTCCTAGCAAAACAAGCTTTTTAAAATGAGAATTGACCGAAAATATTTAAAAAAATTCATTTACTAATATTTTTAAAAAAAATTGTGTTGAGTTGAGGTATATTTTAAGTGACCTAGACATACATAATATATTTTAGTTTATATAGACAACATATTTCTCCTTATTATTTACTTTAGGCAATTAATATTTGAAAAAGATTATGAATGACCTTATTATTTTTATGAGAAGGAAGCGGCAAAATTAAGCTGTGTAGGCATATTTTTAAAATTATGCGCATGAATTTAAACTTGGTAGGTACGTTCTTGTAATCCTGCCGACAAAAAAAGATAAATTCATCATTACACCGAAGAAAATTGAAGTAGTTTCGGAAACTGGTGTATATTTTAATAAGTACTGGGGGTTATTTTAAAACTTAGTAGCTTATTAGAAAGAGCACAATTCACTTAATAATAATAAAAATAATCCAAGTTATCTAAACGAATTTTTCTCGAGATATGCTATTTTAAAGAAATTTTCAGAGAGTGAAGATAAACTTTTGTAGTCGCAAACATCGTCCGCAAATGTCTTTTTGCCTGCTTTCCTTTACCATCTTTGCAATTTAATAATTTTTTTCTCGCTTAATATTTCACACTAAAATCCCTCAATATCCTTTCAAAATCCCCCTCTCTTCGAGACTCTATAGTTTAATATTTTGGTCAAAAATCGATACATTTACAACAAAAAAGCGAAGAAGCGGCCACAAAAAGAGATAACCCGCCAGCAAGGCAAATAATGTGTCTCCGTCCGTAGAGAGGGTGTATTAAAAGTTGGGGGGTTTTAAGTATTTCTCTATCTACGTTTTACAAAGAAAGTAAGAGAAAACCCCCCAAAAGTGTGTAGAAGTATTTTTATTTTTCGTTGTTCCTCTTTGAAGGAATGGGCTGACGGAAATTTTATCTGTGAGTGTATTTGCCTATCCATTCTTTTTTTTTACTTTATTTTACTACTACTTTGACAATCCCAAAGGGATGGGAAAAATATATTTACAAAATTGCTCTAAAATACGTGAAGAAACGTATTTTTCCGGAAAGTGGATGTTTTCGTCCTCCTGAACGTGAAACTACATATATTTAAATGTATGTGTATTCTAATAAATATTTTTGACTTTCTCAATTTTAGATCTAAAAATCATTTGTTGAACTTTTTAAAATTGTTTTAGACTCACTTTTACGTGTCACCAGAGGGGGTCGGAACAGTCAGAGGTGTCGGAAATCTGAACAGGCTCAAAAGCTTGGAAATCGGAAATCAAAAAATTTTTCGGAAATCGGAAGAGAAAAAAACATCGGAAATCAGAATTCTGACCCACCTCTGCTTGTCACCCTTAAAATTCCAAATTTAGGGGTATTTCTTAATTTTTTTAAATTTAAAATTGTTATTTAATATTGTCTGGAAATACTTAAAGGTTTTTAGTCACTTTCCTTCTCATTCAGGGCAAAAGATTATCAGCGAAAGATTATCAAAACAAAAATGTGATAATTTAATGGTTCTCATATTTTTCTGATTGTTTATTGAAACCAATGTTGAAATTAATATGTTAATCCTTGTTCTCAAACAATAAATATAGCGCCTACATATTACAAACTTGAATTTATTACAATTCTTAGATATAATCAGTTATGTTGCATTTTGTTTATAAAATAAACTTTTTTCAATTATTTTATATTTTACAAACAAACTTTTAGCCATTTTAAGTTCAAACTTAAAACTTGAAAAATATACTATTAAAACTTGAGACAAACTTTAAAACTTAAGTTTTTACTTAAATAAACTTTTTCTGCTACAATTTAAAAATTTTATCAAGTTTACAAACTTAAGTAATCTCAAACTTGAAGCTTAAACTTAAAACTTAAGTTTGTTCGTTTAATTAAAATGCTTGATCTTTGCTCGCTAAAAAATTTATAATTTACAAACTTGAATAATCTCAAACTTAAAACTTGAGACCTAAGTTTCCTTCCTTTACCCTTAAAATTTTTATTGATCTTTGCTCGCTAGAAAATTTGGAGTTAATATTTTTGGAAATAATAATTACTATTATTTTTTTCAAGCTTATTATTCAGCTTTAATCTTTAATTATTCAATTTTAATGAGAATAACAAGTCTTATTGTTATGCTGATTGATAATTCAACAGCTTATTGTTAACGTAAGTGTATTATTTTAATTAAAAAATTATTCTTAATTAAAAAAAATTTTCAATTGAAATTTTTTAAAAATATTTTTAAAGTTTTTTTAATAATTTTTAAAGTTTAATTCTCATTATTTTACCTTTTTCTAAAAATTATTGTTCCATAAATAATAAAATTGTTTTGACAAAATAATTATTTATTTTCGTTTCCTTCTCAACAAATAAAATACCGTATTTCCTGAAATAGTACTCCCCCCTGAATTAGCACTCCCCCCTTAAATAGTACTCCCCTTTAGAGGAGGGTTGAAAAATAGTACTCCCCCCTGAATTAGTACTCCCCCTAAAATAGCACTCCCCCCTAAAAATTTTTCTCCTATATTTGAAAAAATAAAAAGAGACTCATTGAATTATTTTATTTATTCTAAGTAGCGTTGTCGGTTTCACTTGATTCTCCGATAAACAAAACCGGAAAGCCTTCGGTTAACCGAAAACGAACTGAAATTTTAACCTAAAATTTTTCGGAGATTAAAGAAATACAATCCGGTTAATTGGTGGGGTAAAAGTGGATTTTGGGGGATATAAAGGGATTGATATCTGATGATAAAATGGGTTCTGGATTGATCAAGTAGGATTTAAAAGATATCATTGGATTAAGGTTTGATGAAGGGATTTGAGGGGAATACACACAAGATTAGTTAACCCTATGAGATTAGTTAATAGAGGGATACACACGAGACTAGTTAACCCCCTGATAAATTCCTAGACAGAGATATTTCCACTATATCCCAAAAAATTAATTGATAATCATTTTATTAATATCATTTTATTATTATTGATAATCATTTTATTATATTTTAATATCAACTTTATCCCCTCAAATCTCACGATATCGCTTTTAATCAAAAATTACCTGGCATCCCTACTAATCCGCTAAAACGTCAATATCCTTCTCAATCCTGATAATTTTTTCGACATCCAACTTAATCTATCGATATCTCTTAATCGCTTAAAATCCCATTATACCCCTGGATATCACTCCAAATCCACTAATATCCTTTTTGCTTTCCCTCAATAACCCTATTTTAAGTCACTTGTGTTTAAAAGTCTCGCAAGTTGCTCAATTTTATACTAATTTGGAATCCACATTTCTTGAAAATCCAAATTTGGATCCGGCATTTTTCAAATTACGAACTCTAATTGATTTAAACATTTAAACTTTTGAGACAAATTTTCCTAAGATAAATCATGGAGGTAGGTTGAAAAATAATACTCCCCCCTGAATTAGTACTCCCCCCTTAAATAGTACTCCCCTTTGGAGGAGGGTTGAAAAATAGTACTCCCGGGAGTACTATTTTAGGAAATACGGTATATTAATTTTTCTTTTTGTCTCTTATTAAAACAAAGGATTTATTTAATATTGTGGTCATCATTTGGTTGCTAAGGGTGACCACAAATCCCTCTCCTTTTTATTTTTAAACCAGGTCTGTCACTAACAATAAACTTCTCTTTCAAGTTTTATTTTTAAAATATAATTCGCAAACTTAAAAACTTAGAGAAAGAGAAGAAAAGTTTTAAAGAGCAAGCTTAAGTTTTAGGAAAAGAAAGTTTTAAGCTTTAAGTGTGCACTTAAAGTTTTGAGTGGGGGACATTTTATGTCGCTTTTATAGTGAGGGAATGACCAAAATTATTTTTTTCTAATTTTTTTAGGAAAAATGAAAATCTCATGCACATTGTTAATCTTTGACATTTCCTTTTTTAAATTTATGTTAAAAATTGCGAATGTTTCAAATCCGTTTCTGTTATTTTTAAATTATTGTCCTTTCATATATTCTTAAGAGAAAAGCTGCTTTATTAGAGAATATTCTAATTATTTACTCTTTAAAAATTAATATTGAGAAAATACATATTAAGCAAAAATAAACAGATGTTTAAAGCTAAATTAATTTCTGATCAAATGCAAAATAATTAAATCAAAGATCAGAGAACATTTTCTAGAGGGTTTCTCTCGGATTTTTCTTTTTTATTTATCGACCACCATTTTTTATTATATCTTTATCCTTTTTTTATAAGAACTTTACCCAAAGAAATGACAAATTTTTCGATAAAGTCAATGAATACTTAACTGATTATTGTTTCTACTAAATATACCTCACGTATCTAGACGTCTCAAATCTCGTCTTATTAAGGCCATAATTGGAAATTTCTAAATTTCTTGAACAAATTTACATGATCCTCAATGTTTTTAAAATTCCTTAAATTTAATATTTTCAAGATGCAATGACCGTTCATCGTCCAAACAATGTCCATTCAGCAGTTCAAAGGCTCAATCGTCCCCCTTCCTCTACTGGTAGGCCAAAAACAACAACAGCTTCTTCAACTTCGCTAAATGTCTCTCAAATTTCTTCCCAATCAACAAGTAGTAGCTCAGGGAATGAATGTGTTAAAGTTGTTGTTAGGTCAGTCTTAAGACAATACTTTCAAGATATTCGCTTAATTTGACCTAGTCCCACTTCACTTTTTACAATCTTATTTTGCCACATATCCCACGTTCCTTCTGATACTTCCGACCTCTCAAGAATTACCCCTTAAGGATCAGGAAAGTCTTTAATTATACCAGTCCTCTTTTCACATATTCTGGACTTCTTAATGGCATTCAATCTTATCATCTCCTTTTATGTATCCCAGTTACTTCTCCATCCCTCCCAAGCTTTTTTCCCTCCCAACAAAAGCGGGAAAATCCTCCAAAGTCTTCCCCTCCCTCCCAAGCTTCTCCCATCTTCCTTGGAATTAATCCGGTAATTGTGGCAGTATTGAGTCAACCAAACTAGACGCTATAACAATTATCATTTTCACTACTACATTCCAGATGCCGACCTCTCTCTTCTTCCGAACAAGCTCAAGGGCACAATTGTTGTGTTAACGTCGACTCCAAAAGTGGCATTATCGAATTAACAAACCCTCAATGCCCTGATGAACCAGCAAAATGTTTTTCCTTCGATTCTGCCTTTGATCTAAATTCCAAACAATTGGATGTTTACGATGAAGCTGTTAGACCAATTGTTGATTCGGTACTTCAAGGATTTAATGGCACTGTCTTTGCTTATGGTCAAACTGGGACGGGGAAAACATACACGATGGAAGGGCCGAGCGGAATTGGAAGTAGGAAAAATAAATTTTTATCTGACTGATAATTAAAGATATAATGAGCTTAATGTGAATCAAAAGGATTTCTCTCATGTGCCCTCCCCAATCATTTGGATCTCATGATTTTCTCTCATCTCCCTCCTTTTTTCCTTAAAGGGGAATTTTTAACAAAATGCTAAAGTATCCCGTATTCCTAGGTAAAATATACATAGGAATTGACATTCCAAAAAATACTGGATATGAGACGGCTTGTAGTTCATATGGATATGAGGATATCATATGATATAGGATATCATATGGATATGAGACTGCTTATACCACATTTTGGTGTTCCACCGACTACATTGTTTCTTTTCTAGATCTTAAACCACTTTTTAAGCTTTTTAACTTCTACCCATCTGGATCCTAAATTTAAATATTTATTCAGAGAACATTGCTTCAGATCAAAGAGGTGTCATTCCCAACTCCATAGATCAAATATTCCAACATATTGCTCAATCACCCCCTTCCCTTCAATATCTAGTACGTGCCTCTTTTTTGGAAATATATCAGGAAGAAATTCGCGATCTTTTAGACAAAAGTGGGGGAACTGGTAAATACTTTACCTTAAAATTGACTCAAAAATTTGTCAAAATTTTCCTCTAGGAAAACGCTTAGAATTGAAAGAAAGGCCAGATGTAGGTGTTTATGTACGCGATTTGAGTTCATTTGTTACTCAAAGCGTTGAAGAGATTGAACATGTATTAAAAGTTGGTCATTCTAATCGGAGCGTTGGAAGAACCAACATGAATGAACACAGCTCTAGATCACATGCCATTCTTGTTTTGACTGTGGAAAGCTCTGAAATTGGGCCGGATGGACAGCCACATATTCGAGTGAATTTTTTAAAAATATTTAAGTCGAATATTTATGACTTGCCAAGAATTATAAGAAAAACTGGAACTTTTTCCTTATGATATGAGGACATGGATTATGATTTACAGTAGCCCCATAAATATTTAAATACGTCATAAGTATAGTATCAAAATTGCTCAAGTCGATATGTCATATAGGCTATATGCCTATACGGCTGGTATATAGCTACGGTTATTTCGGAATCCTCTTTTCCATATTATTGGAGATAGCTTGGAAATCTGCTTAAGTACCTACAGAAAAAAATTAAGTTAATTTAAGGTTGGCCGCTTAAATTTGGTTGATTTGGCTGGCAGTGAGCGCCAAAGCAAAACAGGCTCTGAAGGTCATCGATTTCGAGAGGCTACAAAAATCAACCTTTCCCTGTCTGCACTAGGCAACGTTATCGCTGCTTTGACAGATCAACAAAGTTCTCATATTCCTTATAGAGATTCTAAGTTAACCAGATTGTTACAAGATTCCCTTGGCGGGAATTCTAAAACTGGTAACAATTTTTTAAATATCTGATAGCTTACCATGACTGAAATTTTTTTAAAGTAGCAGACTAATTACTTATATGAATAGCCCTAGTATTATTGAAAACAAAAAGCCAAGATTACAGAGGAACTCCGAAAAAATTAGAGAAATCTTGAGGAAAATTCCAAGAGAGATCTAACATACTAATCTTCCTTAGAATATTCCCCCATTCCTCTAAAATTCATTTGATTCAGAAAAATTCTTTGGCTAGGTGATGAAGTAGAACTATCATGGAAATGATTTATTCAGAATACAATTTAACTTGAGTCATCTTTATTCTTCCATGTTCCTTCTTTAAGTATAGATACAATAAAAAGAATTCGAGATACGGAAGTGATAGAAACTGAGTGCGCTTATTGTTCCTCTTAGATTCAGGGGCAATCTTTCCCCTATAAGGAAGGATCTGATAATAATTTCAAACAAATTCTAACTATAATTTTCTCTTTTAAGTAATGATTGCAAATATTGGCCCAGCTTCTTACAATTATGAAGAAACTTTATCTACACTTCGTTATAGTTCTAGAGCTAAACAAATTCAGAATAAACCAATAATAAACGAAGATCCAAAGGATGCTCTCCTTCGCGAATTTCAAGAAGAAATTGCTCGCTTAAAGACTTTATTAGAGCAAAAAGGTATTACCATTAATTAGCCTTTCTTAAATAATTACACAGTCCTTAGAGATACCGTATTTCTTCATAGAGAGCCCCACCCTCCATTAGAGCCCCCCCTAATACAGCCCCACCTTGGAGGATAGCTGAAAAATAGAGCCACATGGGGGTGTATTAGAGCTGGATCCAGACCTGTATTAGAGCTGGACCAGATCCAGGCTTGAGCTGGATCCAGACCTTGATTTTTCCTGGATCCAGAGTCCAGATCAAGGCATTTTTCAGAGTTCCTTGATTTTTCCTTGACTCAAGATCAAGAATCGCGTCGAGGTATCCAACCAAAATCAAGGTCAAGGTTTTTTGAACATCTCGCTCGCTAGTAAGGACACAATCCTTTACTCATTTATCCCATCCATAACTTGTCACTTTTGTCGAGAAAACGACAAAGAAGGGGGAAAAATAAAAATTAAATTAAAAATAAAAATTTTTGTAATAATATAGAAATTTATATTTTTTATCTAAACTTAAAATCTATAAATTTCTAAATCCCACACACATTAAAATAACCACCTTTTATCTAATAATTTTATCTCTTTAAATTTCTAATAATTTTTATGCTTATTCATTCATTCTGTTTTTTCCTTTCCAATTTAATATCGCCAATAACTTTGTGGAAATAAATAAATAAATAAATATTAAATTAATAAAATTTCTAAATTGTTTGAGTTTAAATACAATAAATTCGCCTAAAGTCTCAATTCGACAAGCTCGTAGTTGGATTCGTATCAACCCTCTTTTATTTATAGGCAGTTTCCCGACCTGTTTATCAATAAAAATGGTGCCACGACCCGGGACCGCCTAAAGTTCAGTCAACATCACCAAATTGGCAAAAATCCCTTTGCCTACACATCGTCTAAAGAAAATTTTAAATCGTCAAATTTTTTGTTCTGAATCTTCTTACTTCTTTCCACCTTTCAAATATGTCTCGAATACTACGTCAGGAGCTCGGTGCAGCAGTCTCATCACTTGTAGAACGTCTAAAAAATGCCGATTCGTACATCGACAGAATCAAATCGAAACCCACAGCAGAGGAAGAGCAGGAACTCAAAATTTCGGTCGAGATGGAACTCGTACATCTCGCCCAGAGAACCGAGCAGCTTCAGACAGTCATTCGTCACTACAATCAGTATATGGAAAGTTTAAGTGAAGCAAAGCAAGATGAGGAAGAAAAATTTCTGGTCAACTATTTAACTTTCGACGAAAAATCTGACAAAAGCGAATTTCCCGATCGCTGGCCAATTACAAGTTTGGTCAACCGAGCACAAGAGGCAATAAATCGGCTGAAAGCCTATCGAATTATGCGGCAAATGACTTCAGAAAATGACAGCAATAATTCACCAAGAGCGCAAAGCGCGCAAGGATCAGTTAATATTAACGAATCACAACGAACGCATATTATTCAGCCAGGTCAAGAAAGACGCCAGTTTTATTCAGATGAAGAAGAAGAAAGAGAATGGTCGCAACAGCGTCGAACTCTTCGCCAAAACAGTGACCGCGACGTTTATGAACCACAAGCACTACCCGTCGGTACTCCGTGGAACGCCCTTAAAGTTGATAGTGTGCGTCTACCTAGATTTGGAGGCGACATCAGAGAATGGAGAACATTTTGGGCATCCTTCGAACATGCAGTAGATCGTCAACCGTATCCCCTCTTCCAAAAACATCTCCTACTGTTACAGAACCTGAGAGAAGGATCGGCGGCGCGTGAAGCCATTAGCGGATACCCTCCCTCCGACACAAATTATAACATCGTCAAAGAGATTTTAAAAGATAAATATGGAAATGATGATCAATTAAGCGACCAGTTAGAAGCCCAACTTCTTAAAATGCAACCTATTCGAAATAATCTTCGTGAATTGTCTCAGTTTCAGAAGGAAGTGGAACGGATTTGTCTACAATTAGAAAGTTTAGGGGGTCAAAATCAACGTTTTTTGTGCAACATTATTAAATCTAAACTCCCTCATGGAGTCCTCCAACAGCTCGTCACAGAAGAACTTCATTCTAAAAAGAAGTGGGACGATAAAGCGCTTCGAAAGGCTTTAATAGATATCGTCAAAATTCGCCAAACGACTGAGGAATGTATGACTTCATTTCAAAGTGAACCAAGACGAGAGCAAACGCGGGACCAAATTAATAGTTCGGGATCGTTTAGAAGTGAAAGGATGCCAATACGACAAGATACGCGACAAACACCACGTCCAATAGAACAAACAAGAGCCTTTCCTGTATTTAGCGCCAATAATCGAGATAACAATCAAAATTCCTTTTGTTCGCTTTGTTCTAATAATGGCCACAAACCAAGCCAGTGTTTAAAATATCCTACTCCTCAAGAACGGAAAGCACGGTTAGAAGAGCAAAAAAGATGTTTAAAGTGTTTACAACAGAGTCACTCGACGGAACAATGTCCACGGTCGTTTTCTTGCAGAAATTGTGGAAGTTTAGACCATCATTTCATTATTTGTTCTAAAGTTAATGCCCATCTCCAGTCAATTAATCAGTCTATACAAATTCGACAAACAAGAAATTTAAGGCAACCCGATCAAAACCCCCGTCAAAATTCATTTCAAAATCGACAAAATAATTTCAGACCAAAATTAACTGGTGCCAATGCTACGACACTAAACACTCACAAACCAGTAACGACCTTGAGTGTTATTAACGAAGAGTCTGAAGAAAAGGAGCAGTTAATAAATCAAGGTGTCGAAAATACGTCTAATTCGTCTAGTTCAGTTACATATTTTAACGCCGATCTAATAAAAAATGAGAATAAAACACATCTAATGACTCTAAACATCCAAGTCTCGTGTTTGGGAGGTCCTAAAGAAGGAATTCCGGCTATGGTTTTCTTTGATTCGGGCAGCCAAACCAGTTATATCACCAAAGAATTAGTTGAGCAACTTCAACCGCCAAAACTCTCGGAAGAAATGCTTCGTATACACACCTTCGCAAATCAAAATCCAAAAACAATACGATCACTTCTCGTCTCCGTCCAGTTAAAACGTCAAGATGATAAATGGGAACCAATCCAATTGAATACAATTAACGAAATATCGTCTAAAATGGAGTCGTATCAATTTACAGGTAAACATGATCAAATAGAACCAGTTACAGGCACGCCTTCTATTTTAATTGGCATACGAGAATTTTGGAATTTTGTTACGGGTTTACGTCAAATCGGCCCTAAACTTTACAAGATACAAACAATATTTGGTGATGTGTTGGGTGGTGAATCATGCTTTGAAAGGTCCAATTATTCCTCAACATTTATGTCTATTAACGGCAAAAAGTTCGACCATTCCAACGATATGGAGAATTTCTGGGCATTAGAAACTATTGGAATAAAAGAAAATCCTGAAGAAAAAGATGATGATACAGCTATGCGTCTATTTAAACAATCTATTCGTCAAAAACCGAATGGCACTTATACTGTACGTCTCCCATGGAGAGAGCCTCGACCAGTCATAAACTCAAATTGGGCAATGGCGTACAGTCGTCTTCAGGCTAATATTCGGCGTCTATCCTCCTCACCAGAACTTCTTCAGAAGTACGACAAAAATTTGCGAGATCAAGAATCCAAAGGCATAATAGAAGAAACTGGAAGAGACGAACAAGAATTTTTCATGCCACATCACGCCGTTATTAATCCTAAAAAATTGCGAATCGTCTTAGATGCGAGCGCACATCCCAAAGGAGCGTCAAGCCTAAATCAAGCGTTGTATCGCGGACCTGTACTTTTACCTACGCTAGTTGGAATGCTAATTCGATGGAGAAGCTGCCTTATTCCCATCTTATCTGACGTCCAAGCCGCCTTCCATACAATCGAAATGTTGCCTGAGGACCGTCAATTCTGCAAAATTCTTTGGCTCCGAGACGTCACTAAACCCATATCTTCAAATAATCTGGTCATCAAAAGATATACGAAAATGGTCTTTGGCGTAATTTCATCTCCTTTCGTGTTGGCTGCCGTACTTCTTCATCATTATGACAAATTTGATAGTGAGTTAGCGAAAGAGATGGCAAAAAACACTTACGTCGATAACATCCTATTTCAGTGCCAAAACGAGGAAGAAGCCCTTGCAAAGATCAAAGAAGCTAAAGAAATATTCAAACAAGCGGCCATGAATTTGCGTGAATTTCTGAGTCATCGGCCTACAATTATGGAACAAATACCGGAGGAAGATCGTCTAGACAAAGCAAAAGCACAAGTCCTGGGAATCAAGTGGGAGATATCTGATGACTCTTTAACACTTAAATTCCCAAAAGAAGACGAAAGTGTAATCAGTCGTCGATCAGTCCTCAGCGCGCTAGCTAGTGTTTACGATCCTCTGGGTCTTATTAATCCTTGCTTATTGTCGACAAAATTATTTTTTCAACGACTATGGGAAGGCGATCGAACATGGGATCAGCCAGTTAATCTTGAGGAACAGAAAGAATGGCAAAATATTCGTCAAACTTGGAAGGACCAAACCATCTCTATTCCTCGCCTAATCATACTTAACGAGTTTGAAGAGTGCCAAATTCACGTATTTAGTGATGCGTCGGAAAGTGCATATGCAACCTGCGTCTATCTTCGCACGTCAAAAGATTTGTGTGTCAATTCGTCGTTAATATTCGCGAGAAACCGGCTGCGCCCAAAAAACGCCAAATCGAGTCTGACTGTTCCGAGAATGGAGTTACTTGGAGCTCTCATTGCCGTTCGAGCTAAAATTCACGTACAAAACGAACTTCATAGAAAAATCGACGCCGTCCATTTTTGGCTCGATTCTCGAATTGTTTTAGCTTGGATTCAATCAACAGACCCCAAACCTCAGTTTGAACAGCGCCGACTTACAGAAATTCGTAAAGGAGCAAACGGAATATTTCATTTTGTTAGAACAGACCAAAATTCGGCCGACATCGCCACTCGTGGGTCAACGCCTTCTGAACTCCAAAATTCGTCTCCTTGGTGGAACGGCCCTCACTGGCTC